CTTGGCAAAGCACAAGGACCGCGGATCAATCCTCCAGCACCACATGCCAGCCAGCCCCGCCCCCTGCTGGGCTGAGCTGGCCACACACACACACTAAATAAATAAATATTAAAAAAAAAAAACAACTGGCCAAGGTCAAATTAAAATGTTATTTCATTACTTGATGCTTATTAAGTTACTCAATATTTACTAAAGAGATACTTTTTTTTTTTTTATGCGGAACGGGGATTGAACTCAGACTCTTGCGCTTGCCAGGGAAGCGCTTACTCTACTGAGCCATCTCCCCGGCCCCAGACAGATACTTTATGCAGTTCCCAGAAGCCAAGCCTAATATGCACAATTATGCATTCACTTATATGAACGCTAAAAGTATATTTTATTTTTTAAAAAGTGCCTTGTATCTTTAGTGGGATTAAACACATAAAAACAGTTTGGAAAGGGAAGCTTTTCTTTGTTCTTCAATTACTCAACTTAGTCCTAGAAACAGCACTGATGAGGTAAGAGGAAAACTGGCCTGGGCGCAGGCACAAAAGCCTCGATCCACACCTCGAGCTCAGCTGAGTTTTGACAGTAGAGTGCTGAGGTCACCCTGCATGTCACCACAGAAGGGGTTTGTTCCTGGTGCCTGATTTGCACATCCAAAAAAGCTAAGGAGATCATGATTTAAAAAAATTTAAATGTAGGGGCCAGGAAGATGGCTCAGTGGAATAAGCGCTTCCCTGGCAAGCACAAAGGTCTGAGTTCAATCCCGGGTTCCGAAAAAATTAAAAAAAATAATAAATAAAATTTTAAATGGGGGCTGGGAAGATGGCTCAGTAGAATAAGCATTTGCCTAGCAAGTACAAGGGCCTGAGTTCAATCCCCAGTTCCATAAATAAATAAATAAATAAATAAATAAATGTGTTCCTCCAAAGCCTGTGAGCTTTACAAAGGGAGTTTTAAGAGTCATGTGCCATGCAACTGCCCACACCTGGGCCACGGGGGACACACAGAAGCACGTAGATTTGTTTAGTAAATGAGCACATCCTCTGCAAGTCCCCAATTTTGATGTCCTTAAACTCTAAGCCCTACTATTAGTCTATGGCAGTGGGAGCGAAACCATGGCACGCATATTGTAGTGGGCTGTTTGTATCACTGAAAGCTCTAAAAGTTTCCCCATCACTGGTCAGTGGTGTCAAACAGAACAACTGTGAGCTGTAGAAACAAGTATCCAATGAATCTGTAATAGTCAAGGTTTCCCCAAAGCACTGGTTCTTAGCCTGAAATCTGCATACCGCTGTCATGACAGTGGTGCAAGGAGGCCAACAGTGCAGATGTGGCCACTCTGGCAGCTGTAAGCACTGAGCAGCAGAGAGCAGCCTCCAGTGTTATTAGAGACCCACAAGTCAGCAGAAAACAACAGGCGGCCAGAGAGGCACTGGCTCTGAGAACAAGTCAGGAAAACAGAGCCTTGACCAGAGAAGCGGAGCTGAGATCAAGAGTTAACACGAGAGCTTGGAAGATAGCTCAACGGCCTGAGTGCCTGCCTGGAAAGCGCAAGGTCCTGATTTTGATCCCTGGTACAAAAAAAAAAAAAAAATGTAAGTGAACCAGGTGGACAATTCGGCCAGGGATGTAACAAGAGCAGTCATAAGCAAGATGGTGGATGCCCGCTCTGACAACTTTTGTCCCTTCCCATCTGGAAAAGTTTTTTTTTCTCTGCTTGTTTTTTTTTAATAAACCACTTGAAGAGGATAGCAACCAAGAGGCACCTGTGGGCACGCACTTGCCATTCGCCTCCACTCCTCTGGGTCCATTTCAACTTTAAGTGAGCTAGTGTTAGTCCTCAAGTTCAACTTGAATTTGACTCAGAGTACCTGAGTCCCAGTCATCTTTTGGTATTAAAAACTTGTAGACAAAGAGATTCCTTGGCAACCCTCTTCTAGGGCCACTCCGCACTTGGAGTTCTCTCTTCTTCCTCAGCTTTCCTCCTCTGTCCCTGACGTCAGTCTTCAATCTCCTAAGCCATGGATCCAAACTGCACACGCGTGACAGTGCCAGCATCACTCAGCATCTCAGCTCCAACCCCAGCCTGCACATCTGCTGAGCCAAGGGTTGGGCAATACCCTTCCCTTTCTCTACAGCCTCCCTCCTCACATCATGCCCAATGCAGCACCTGATTCCCTCAGCCTCCCATCCCCACACCCTGATGTCCAAGATCCCTGGGGCACAGATGTCACTGGAATCCGGTGTGTAGCAGGGTTACCCACAGCACAGGTGTGTGATCTCAGGTTGGGTCCCCAGTCAGCTTAACTGGAATGAGCCACAGCCAAGCAAATGAACATGTGTGGAATTATCCAGCTGAACTCTCTCTGCGGTTCCTGGTGATGTCCCTCGGCCTCTAACTCCCACTCAGAATCCCTCTGCTCAGGCCTGCCCCTCCACCTACTCCCATTCTCTCCCTGTCAATATAAGTGGCATGGCTGTGCAGAACCTATTCTCCTCCCTCCCCAGGTACCAGCCCTCTGTCCCTCTCCCCTGGCCCCCTGGGCCTCCCAAGCTGTGACTAGGTTTCCATCCGAGTTGCCTGGACCTGCGGCTCTGGGCCTGCAATGAGGCTGCTTATCATGGCAGAAGCACATGGTGGGGAAACTGCTCATTGGTGGTGGCCGAGAAGTATCGAGGGAACAGGCCAGGACAGGAGGCCTAGTCTAGACCTTCTAAGCCTTCATGGCTCCTCTGGGCCTCAGGTCCCCTTTCCCCCCAAGGACTGATCCATGCTGTTCATTTCCTCGTGGCCTCCCTTGCCCATTGTCATCTCTCCAGCCCTCTCCCCATGCTGTGTACCCAGCCCAAAGAGTCTACAGCCACTGGGGCATGAGGGAGGAGAAGGGGGTGGGGTAGGGGAGGGGGAAGAGGGAAGGGACGGGGGAAGAGGAGGAGGCACCAGCACAGGAGTGAGGAGACACAGAGGACAAGAGCAGGAGGAGGAGAATGAGGAAGAAGGGAGGAGGAAAAGGACACACTTGACAAAATAATGAGGAGTCACAATGAAGACCCCATTTCTGCTGCCCAAGACGTGTTTGTGGCTGTTAAAGGATTGAGTCACCTCTCGTAACCACTGAGAGGAGACCCCACAGCAGCTGTGGGGCCCTCCTCCAAATAATCAAATGTCACCCCATGAGAGGCCCCAGCTCGTGCTCCCAAGCTCAGAGAGGCCACAGGACAAGGAGGAAGTCTGCCTAGCAAAGCCAGCATTTGATGTCCCTTCCATGGGCTTGTGCACCAAATGCCCACAGAAGAACACCCTTTAATTGGCTTAAGCAGTTGCTCCAGAAGCTGAGTCACACATGTGAACATGCAATTCCTATGTTTTGTTACAAATATCCCTACTGTAGGCTCAGAACATATCCGTCCGTGGGAAATGAAGTCTGCGCATTTAAATCAACTGTCTCCTGCAGCGGGCGGGCAGGCGGCGTGGCGTCCACGCGATCTGCACGGCA